CTTGAACATAATTAAAGCATACTGATTAATCACAAAAACAATATGTAATTATATATGTGTTTTCCGATGGTCTTAGGCGAGCCCTGTGAAAGGGTCGTTCGACCCCCAGAGGGGTCACGACCCACAGGTTGAGAACCACTGTGCTAGAAAGACTCATAAGGCCCATAGCAGGGTACTTACGGTTTATACAGCAAAAAGATAGAAAGCAAAAATAACAGGAAAAGATAAGCATCAAGTAGGGTTCAGAGAGGTTAGACACAAGCTTCTAAGTCTTCCCCTATCCATCATCACATAGCATGCATGTGCTTTCTCTCTTATTATTAACTTCAGTGACAAGTGCCAAGAGTCTCTGCCCAAAGAAGCCTGACTAACTCTCAAGGTCTGAGGTATTTTAGAGGGCTGGTCATATAGCAATATCTTTCTATGTAACCAATCGAAACTCAAAACCCCAATAGTAAAATCAGACAGACATCAATAATCTTGATGTTTGTGTGAATCAATCTTGACAAGCCAGTATGACAAATTCCACTTTTCAAGGTGTTCAAAAGAAAATTATTAATCATTAATGGAAACTTTTCAAAGGCCACATTCTTGATAGCTAATCAAGTCTCAGTTATAGTTCCAAGTTCCCTTGGAAAGATGTGCAAAAAGTGAACAACCAGGTGTTCTGTGTTAAGTTCCTTCACAATTGGTGAAGTGCCCTACTGTATTTTTTCATATATACTTTTTGTTTGTTTCATTACAAAAAAACACACAAAAAACAACCCTCTCTTGAAGTTTTCTTAGTGTTGATTTAATGAGAGTGGTCATATTGGAGAAGTATACACCATTAGATAACTTTTAATAAAATAGATTCTTAGTATAAAACCTACTTGACAACAACTAAGGGTTGTTTTTTTTTATAGTTTGAAATTGAGAACTTTAGTAAGATTTGTAAATGCAGATATAAATGTGGATAGCCTTTGGGCAAGTTACTTAATACCTTGGATTTCTCACCTATAAAATGTGGGTAATGCTATTACCCACTTCATAGTATTACTATAAAAATTAAATTTGTTAATCAATATAAAACATTTAACACAGAGCCCAATCACAATAGTGTCAACTATAATCTTAAAATTGCTATTAATAATTATTGAAATAATTACCAATTTTATTTCTCAAGAAGAAAACATAGCTAGGAAACTACCTGTAATAGATAATAATAGATAGTAAGTTGTATGTTAGGTTGTGACCAATAAAAATATAGCAGATTAGATTTTATTGTAGACCTTCTTGTCCTGTTATAGAGTAGAGTATCCATTATAGGAAACTATGCATCTCATAATAAAGCACCAAAACGTGACATGAAGGCTACCAAATTTATGGAAGAAATAGACAAATAGGACATTTTATTATTATAAAGTTTCCCTCTTTGTATCTTGTCTAATATTTACATGGTCACAGCAGCTTTTTTATATTTACTTTTTTCAGTGTATTTATGTCTTCATATTTAAAGTGAGTATCTAGGAGAAAGAAACAAAGTTATTTCTTGATGTCTTATCCCATGTGACAATCCCTATATTTTGATAGGAAATTTTAGTCTGTTTACGCGTGGTATAATTATTGATATGGTTGTATTTAGGTCTTCTGTTTTATAATTTTAAAAATTTGTTTCATCTAAATTTTGTTTCTATGTGGTTTCTTTTTTTTCTTTATTTTGTGTTAATCTTAGGGGGTTTTAAAAACATTTTATCTTAATTCTCCTGTTTCCCTTTTATTTTTGTTTTTCAGTTTCCACTTCTTAATTGCACATTCATTAATATATTTCCTTTAATTCTCTCTCTTTTCCCTCTCTCTCTCTAATCCTCACCGGAGGATACCTTTCCATTGATTTTTAGAGAGAGTGGAAGAGAGAGGGAAGGACAGAGAGAAACATCAACGTGAAAGAAACATATCGATTGGTTGCCTCCTGCACACACTGACCAGGGCCCAGGCCAGGGAGGAGCCTGCAATCAAGGTACCTGCGGTTGAAGGGAATCGAACTTGGAACCCTAAGCAGATGCTTTATCCGCTGAGCCAAACTGGCTAAGGCCTTTGAATATATTTTTAACAGCTACTTTTCAGTTTTTGCTAAATTCAAAATCTGGCTTCACTTGGAACCATTTTCCATTAACTACCCTTTGTCTTTGGTTGTATTCTACTTGTCTTTGCATATTTGTCTAGTAATATTTGTTGGTTTTGTTGTTATTGTAATTATGTGGGTCCCCTGGGTCTTGCACAATTCCCATCTGCTCCCTGCAGGCATTTTAACTGACCCTCACCTACTTCCCCCACCTCCCATCAGGACCCCAGTTTAATGTAACACTCAATCTCCGGTATCTGCAGGGGGTGGTCTGTGGTGGGTGGAGCTCCAGGGGTAGTAATATTACTGTGCAGGAGGCTTAAAGTTCACAAAGGCGGTGTGTCGGATGGAGTTCCAGGTTTGGGGGCTCCGAGTCCGGAATACCCTGAGGGCGCAGGATGGAGGGAAGATGGATTTGGGGACAAAAGGTCGGTGACATCCAGATTTGTGGTGGGGAACAGAGTCGGTTGAAATCCAGGATGGGGAAGTCTGAGTCCCGGAGGACCGATTTGGGATGATTTGGGATCCGGCACTCCTAGGTGCTGGAGTCTGAGCCCGAGGCCATATTGTGGGGGAGGGGATGGTAGGGAACGCAGCCCAGGACGGGAGCCAAGGCGGCCAGCGTGGGCCCGGGCAGCCCGTGGTGGTCGCGCACAGACGCACAGCCACGCGCAGCCTGGGAGCGAAGCTTCCCCAGCCATGGTGAGCAGCTCCAGCTCCTTAATCCTAATCTGCTCCTTAACTCTGATCTCCAGCTCACAGAACCCCGGGATTGGAGGCAGAGGCAGGGCGAGCGGGAGGTTGTGGGGCCTG